AAAAAATCGGAGCATAAAGCAATATATTTAGATTTTGATTCATTGTAAAGAAATTTGCAAAGAAATTTTTAAAGGTTTCGATTTTTTCTGCAAAGAATTTGGTGGGAAAATTTTTTAATTAGTTCTAGCTGCTTCTCGAAATTTCAACAAAAAAGCCTTGGGAGTTTGCATTTCTGCGATAGAAGCCACCCTTGCTCAAAAAATTTTGATACAGAGCATCAAAATACATGGACCTTTAAATGATTTGTTACTTAGTTCATCCAAACGTGATATCAGTTTGGAGCTGCGGTTTTGCTGAAATGAAGCCACATAGTGAGCAGAATTGTACCGTACTCTCCTCTGTCAAACGACTTGTCTTAAACTTGTGCCGTTTGTACCACAACTACGCTCCATCTGTTTGGAAGATCACTATTGTACCAGTTTTTGTGGTTTTAATGATTGCCTCAACCTTACTTGCCTAATGGGATTTTTGATTATCACGATAGCGCTATTCTCTGCGTTATATTTGCTCTTATCAGTGACCAAATTTCGCATCCGTACGTTATTTCTTGCAGCACAGTGATTCAGAAGAAGAGAAGCGCTCTTTTTGGGGTTGAAAGTGTCAACAGCCCAAGGAAAAATACATAACATTTGAGTTGGGCAATGCATTTGCTGGCTTTTGCTGCACTGTTGCTGCTGCTCTGCGTTCTGAGGCTAGGAGAGACAGCAAATGCGAAAACACTAGACATAAATTGCATGTTCCTTGGATATCCAGAATTAGAATACGACGGGTTTGATCGAACTGAGGTTAGCACTTGCGCAATGATATTTTGGATTTTTCACAATAACAGATTTGTTCAGGAAATTTTTAGATACTTTATGGTCAATTTGCATCAAAGCCGAATAGAAAGTTTGGTTTCATTTTTCTCAGTTTTTCATTTAAAGCTCTTTTTTTTATATCGGACGAAGGGTTTTTACCTTTTTCCTTCTTACGAATCTCCTAACTTTGTTTCAAAAACTAAGGAGAATGGAACAATGCCACACCCTGCCTTCTTATAGTCGAAATTTCGACAAATGTAATTTCTTGTCATGATTTTCATCGCAGTTTACAGGTACTGACAGAAAAAAATTTTAATAAGACTGTTTTTGCGAATGACGCCAAAACAGTTGTATTTTTTAACGATGTGGAAGAAGACGATCCAGAATGGGATCAGTATGAGTGCTTTTTACAGGTTTGAAGTTATGCTTCCCTTGACGAACTGTGCTAAAACGGAGTGATAATCAGTACCAAAACCGAAACTAAGTGAAGAAGAATGAGGGACATTTACGGAAAATTTCAGTAAAATC